TTTACTTGTTTATTTATTTATGTATTTCTTTTTTAATTATTACTTTGCTTCTTTTCCTACTTTGTGTGCAACAGTGTCAATGATTGAGTGACTGCTTTCAATACACAGAAAAGTGTGGGGGCAGGGTAGTTGGGTGCAGGGAATATGGAGGACGTCCCTCATCAGTCACTCTCTGTTTGACAACATTCCTTTGATTCCTGCTAATCATGTTAGCTTAGCCACACAAAGCAAAAATCGCATCATTTCAGATCTTGTTGTTTTCAACGTGGCGACTGTTTGGTCCACTCTCAAAGTTTGAAAACTTTGGTTGAGAATGAAGAAATACAGTAAAGTGTAAGAAACATTAAATTGCACAAAGACTGTAAAAGAACAAGAATTACAAGCAATTTTTGACAGGTGTCTTTCAGAATGATTAAGGTAGAGCTCTATGATCCAGCACACCCAACGTTATCCTGCTTTTTAGGAACACAGACTAGCAGTATGAAGGCTAACCAACTGTCCCAAAAACCCTGCGTTTAAATTCACGAACATTTGAACGACTATCCACGCTCACATTCACACCCATGATCACCTTAATGATCTCTTTTGGGCTAGGGGAAGAAATCCACACACACACGGGTCACCATGAAAACTATCCAGAAAAGAAAATCAACCAAGAATCAACCTCAGCCACTTTGGCCATGTGTGACAATGTGTAACATAACTGGCAAGTGGTACGTCAGGAAAGACATGTCACTATCACGTCTGACGTGTTTTTCTAGTCTCAACAAAAACTCCATTCACACATATGTAATAAATTGTCAAAAGGCTGACACCCAGTTTCTCCAATCTCGATTAACCACCACTGTGCTTCCAGAAACAACTCAGTCACTCGCTGCTACAGCACCATCTCCTTTGTTAGGGATGGTTGTATCTGTAACTTCACTAAAGCATCGCCTCACAGCCCAGACACCGCAGACAAAGGAAGGAACATTCAGACCACAGGCTCAATTCCTGTAAAACCACATCTCATGTATGTGTCTGTTAGCTCAACTCGGTGTAGCGACAGTCTGCGCTGATGTAAACATGGGAGCATTTTTGCATCATTATATGCTCTCCCTCTGTTTCTCTCCACCCATCCCCCCCATTTATGCACCTCCTCCTGCTTCTTTTCTCTTCCCACACCCAAACACCACCCCGCCCCCACATTCAACCCCACGGCTTCACCCCTCCACCTTCCCCCGAGCTGTCCTCTTAGCCTACATACAGGTCGTCCAATTGACTGAGCTGCTCAACTTCACCACACGTCGTCCACCGTTGCACACGATGCTGGTGAACACAAACCTTCCTCAAATCACACTTGAGAAAGCGAGTCCACATTAGCAGACAACTGCTGTCACTTGTCTTGATGCAGAAGAAACTAAAGACCTCTGTTTTGGCTCATAGAGACAGAATGCTGAGCCTAAGAATATTAACTAAAATCAAAAGTCCGCGCCCCGTACAGGACACACTTCTAAAGCAGCAGACAGATGGGAAAAAAAGAGTAGTAACAGCAAGTAGTGGATGTGTCATGACTTTTTCAGGTGGGGCGGTGGGAGAGAAGGACTTACCGGGAATAATGGAAGACTGGGAATGCTGAACATGTAAAAGAGGTAACCACAAGGGAAGTTAATGGATGCCTCCGCAGATTAATGTCAGAAGTAGGGCTGTGGCTTTAAATTCTTCAGTTTGGACACGTCTGTGTTTAGCCAGTAAATAATCACTGGGTTGCAAAATCATCTTTGTGTTTGTGTATTTAATAACTTGTATTCATATTTTATTCTGATTGGAAGTGACCAGGGAGGACATGATAAGAAAAGAGTAGATGAGAGGCTCTGCAGTTTGGTATGGAGTTAAAGTCTAAAAGCTATTTAGCTTTTGAGGAACACAATAGATTGTATTGTTTTTTTGTTTGTTTGGTTTTTTTTTTTGCTTATTGTAGCATGTTTGAGGTGGTTTGAGTATTTGGGTTTGGAGTTTTGTTTGTTTGTTTGTTTTGCTTATTGTAGCATATTTGAGGTGGTTTGAGTATTTGGGTATGGACTTCCAATGTAACCCTGAAGTTGACCTTTGAGTATTATTGTACACTATGATAACTAGTCTATTTTTGAAATACACTGTAGACGACTAACATATGACATAACCTTACGCTTTGTTAAACAGGGTAACTGCACAGCGTCTTGTGCCTTAAACCACAGTTGGAACCTTGACCCTAAAGATCACGTCCTGTTGCTTCCCTTCTGGTGCCTTTTTCAGAGAGGTTATACATCACTTGGCGGGGGGAGGGGGGGGGATTAATATCAATAAATCATAGTGTTTCTAGAGGGTATAACATGGCACTTATACAATTTTACTACATTTATGCAATGTAGCTACAGTAATGTAAGTTGGCATCACTGACTGTTGCAAAATTAAAGATGACTTTCATCCACTGCAATACATACATACATAGTACTATTGAAAGAGCATGTTAAAGAAAAAGGCTCAACTACAGTACAAGTTAATGTGCTCCTGAGAAAGATGACAGGGAACAGTAGTGTTTCTTTTTTTTTTATTATGATGATAACATGTAAAATGTACAATTTATGTAACTGTGTGCTTTGACTGGGAGAATGTATCGCTCTGGTAAAACCCTTTCATCACTGGACAGTCACAGGACACTGTAAATGGGTTTTAAAACACTTTTAAATAGCGTGTACACTAATGTAAAAGACAGGAGAATCATCTCAGTGTTTAAGCATTTGAAGCAAAACATAAACAAGTTTGGAAAAACCCAACTGGACATGAGTGGGCCAGGTTCCCATCACTGCCTGATTCAGAGGCCGAGGTAGCTCCGAGCATCCTAGACCCACATCTCCATCTGTTGCTCCACCTGCCTTCTCTGTATAATCACACCTACACCTACACATTCCAACAAACTTTGGACATATGTCGGCATGGACACACACTGACCTAATGCAGCAACAGCCCAGCTACGCAACCTCATATTTTCAACAAATAGAAGCGGTCTTTCTTCAACCTTGTAGCATATAGTATAAAAAAATAAATAAATAAAAATATTCAGGCACTTTTGACAACAGAGCATTGGCTAAGATAACACCATAGAATAATTCAAGAAAGTGTTTTTTAAATCATATTCTCATCCTCCTCTACAGAAAGACCACGACCAAACTCCAAGTCCAATTAAATGCAATTTTGTTCCAAGGCCAGCACTTTTGCCCACTCAGTGATTAAGGCAGCCATTACGGCCAGACTACCATCCTCCACCACTGTCCGCTTGACATATGGCATTGGAGGTAATGCTGATAAAGTTCCTTAAACAAGCCTCTGTAGTACAGAGAGAGGTTAGTGTTGGAGGGTCATGAATAAAGAAATGGGAAAAAGTAACATGATGAAAAACCTTGTGCCAAAAAAGAAAAAGTTTAAAAAACTCATGTTAAATAAAATGTTATTCGGTTTTGGAACAAAACTTATTGAGTATTTTTATGCCAATCCAACCATTTATTCCTAAGAAGATACTTTTCATTTTTTTAAGTGGTTAATCATTTAAGTGCAAGCTAAACACAGACAGTTCTTTTATCAAAGTTAAACTACAACTAGGGTAATACTTCTAAACTATAATGTATTCCTGAGTATTTCATTTGTGTATTACACATCTATCAGGTTTTATTCCCAGTATTGTTTGTTTGTGACTGCTGTTTAAAGTGTGACAACAACTATAATTGTGAAATTTATATTAAAGGTTATTGTGATATATATATATATAGTTTAGTTATGAGCTGTGTAATTGAGTTGAACTTCTGAATGTAGACATTAGAGGTCTACAAATATATATATTCACTTCTGTGGGATATTTTTGCTGAGTTGACACAATACACAATGTAGAAAAATATAATTAAAGTATAATTATAACTCTCTGTAACTGTGTAATGGAGAACCTTAGTGAACAACTAATTACCTTAACCTGATAAATACTAAACTTTTAAGACTAAGAATTCATGTCATGCACAAGGCATATATTAACAGTCAGTCAAGTATGTGAAGTATTCTTGTTGAACCCTGACAGACAAAACAAGATGCAAACAAGAAACATGAGTAAAGTCATGGACTCACAAGGCACAGCGTGATGGTAGAGGTTGTCTCTGATGGTCTGCTGAAGTTCGTGGTCTGGTGATGATTTCTGGAAGCGTTGGCTCAGGTAATGCTTCAGGTCTTTGCTTAGTTTGTTTCCTGCCATTAGGGACACATGAAAACACGAGTGATGAGTACATCCTATGGTAAAAGAGGAACATTTAAAAACAAAACGAAAAAAGAAATAATAGTAGTTTGTCCACTGCTGCTCAGTCACATGATAATTAATAACATTATCTGCACTTACTATCTGTATTTCTAATTTAACCCATGCCCCAACCTAATATTATTCAGAGGGCCAATTCCACACAAGGATGTACAGGATCTGTAGTACCTACAGTAGGTTTTACCTCAATGATAATTACAACACTACTGTGATGGACACAGACTCAAGGCTATGAATTAAATAAGGAGTTTAGTCTTTGTCCGTCTCCGGGGTCCTTTAATTGGGTCATTTTATTTTGTGCAGGAATTTCAGTGGGTACACTGGCTTTGTAAGGTCAAAGGTCATCTGAGGTGGACCATAAAGTCCATGGGAATGGATGTATTGCAACCAGTCAAGTCTACTCTATGGGAGTTATGGATATATATGAAGTTACCAATGATGCAGATACTTGTTTTTGCAAAATGTTTTTTTATGACACATCATAAAAGAAAGATTTGCACAATGGTGACCTTTGATCATTGAGCATCTGAAGTCTATTATTCCGCAAAAACAGCATAAAAAAGCCAATAATGGACAGTCACAATGGTGACCTTTGATCATTGAGCAAGTCTATTATTCCGCAATAACGGCATAAAAAAGGCCAATAATGGACAGCTACTCAGTCCATTGGTGGGCCACAAATATAGACAGAAACCATTCACATTGAATTTAGAGTGAACAATAACTCAATCCTGCTTTTAATTGTAGCGTTTTCACATTGTAAAGCCGGAGGGCTAGCTGCCATGTCACTCTGTGGCCACATTAGTTTGTGTAACAAAAAAATCATGTGTCTTAGCTCTGACAAAAATAAAACACACAGGCAACTACAAGTGCGCTAGTGTATCGGCTTGAATTTTACACTTGCCACTGTAACAGAGGGGATAACTGGCATCAGAACGTCTCTCACCACCATCACCTAGCCTGGTCGCGTAAAAACCCAACACCGCCAATGCCAAGGCTAGCAGTACAAATCAGCCCTCCGACTGATAAACCATCTGGGCCTCAGACACACATTAGGCAACTGTGGGGCAGCACTGTTGGAAAGTTGCCGAATGTGGAGTCTCCATTGTAACTTAGCAAAGGAGTAAAACAGAATAGAAATGTAACACACAAACCCGTCTGCTGTCACACAAAAGGATAGATGAGACAATTTACCTAATGAAAATGACATTATTTTGATCCACATTCGATAACAGCACGACTTCAGGCAAAAACAAACATGTTATCATGTTCCATGCGCGTGTCTTTATGTCTCATTATTTACTGCACAAATGATTTATCCGCCGTCTTTGCTCGGCTGCTAAGATCATTTCGGTGGTATTGAACAAACAAGCAGCCATAAAAGGCCCTGGATCCTGTTTCCATGGAAACTGTGTGGATGTGTATGTGTGTGTATGCATCTGTATGTCCCTGTGTGTGTTTAATAAGATGATTGAGGTAGCTTCTATTGTATAGAGAGAGCCTTCTGTACAGTTAGTTGTATAATTGTACGCTCATAGGATCAGAAGAAAAAACTGAAGCAAAGCTGGCTTCTCCCACAGCAATTATTTGTGATTTGTTTTAATGTGACATTTCTTGTGTCACAGCAAACAAAAACGATTTCTAATTAAAGAATATCTACTGTTGAGTAGAATAATTTTTCATTACCAATGAAAAAAAAATCATTTTAAGTGTGAATTCTGGTTGGAACTGTTGGTTTAATGTAAATAATAATAACCAACTAAACCAAGGTCAACTTATTATGTCCAGTAAGGTGAGATGACTACATATATTTATAAATGGAAGATGAAAGGTCAAATACGTGGCACCTGAATGGTTTGTACCAAGACCATGTTGTAATCCTCACAACAGGTTACAAACCAACACTCTGCACACAGTGGGACTTCCATACACCCTGATGTGAACTTCCACATAAACACACATGTAAACACACTGACAAAGAGAAGGAGGAAGAGAGGAAGAGAGGGAGGAAGAGAAAGAGACGGTAAACCACCAATGTTAACAAAGTACTATTGGATCCACATTCACTGATCATGATTTTTAATTGTGTACCTAATTATTCAAAAACTACTCATGCAAAAAAAAATTGAGTAGGTGAATGTGAAGCTGAGTGTACTGTTAATTAGCCAAGTTGGCTGCTAATTCTATTAGCCTGGCCTTTGACAATAAAAAAATACAGACAGAGACAGAGCCACTCTTAACGCTGTCTACTAATCATAGTAGACAGATGACACATGCACAAGCAAACACATATTTATTGATTTTATCAATAAAAAAGGATAAATAAATAGTTTATTTGTCAAATATGTATCTTTTATTAAATTAGATTCTTTGTAATAAAGTAATTATTTAGCCTCTATTTCAGTCAATCATTCCTTAGTTAAGTAACCTTGTTCACGAATGCACACTTAAAAATAAAAAAACAAATGTCTGCAGTCATTTCATTCAACAATTAGTCGTAATAACTCTGAAACATACTGTGTGTTAAAGTAGGTTGAAAACACACCAAGCTCTGAAGAGTCTGCAAATCTTCTACAGTCTCACTAACCTAAGGAACAAATTGTGTTATCGGACACAAAATTATGGACTAAAAAGGCTCACAGAGCAGCTCTGCTTCTCACGTCAAAGCAAAAAATAATAAGCTGTTTGTGCACAGATTAATTCAGTCCTCCAACAAATTAAAGTCAATACGACAACATATTTGGTCAGACTGAAAGAGACACTCAGTGTGAGTGGAACCATCACAGAATTTAAGATTGCCAATTTAGACACAGCTGAAACCTGGAATGGTTCTATTTAATGAAAATAGTGAAAGAGATCAAAGGTTAATGTAAATATTTGGATATAATGTCACCAAACACTATTTCTCTGTCAAACTAATACCCATGCACAGGCTACTCCCCATGTCAGCAGTGCACACACAGAACGCCAATAATGTGAGAAGCAGGCAGCAAAATTGGGTTTAGAGAACATTTGGCCCAGCACCCACTGCCCCCACCCACCCAAATCCCTCAGCAAACAGATAATCAGAAAAGACATATCCTTCAAATACTGCCCACCTGTTTTAGATTTCCATAAGCCCCCTAAAACAAGCAAGAAGTTTCAGAAGGAGGCACGCAATTCATGACCGAGGGGAATTCAGGGGGGGAGAAGTGGGGGGTGAGAAGTGGGGGGGCTCAAAAGGAGTACAGAGAACATCAGAGTCATCCAGACAAAACATCAAAAGAATTGAAGACACCCAAAAAAAAACACTACTTTTCAGACAGTTCCAGACCTTTGAGCCCACCATAGCATCCCTCAGCTCTGATCAGTCAACCAAAGCCTTGCTCAGACATGCAGAGCCTGATACAGCACCAACCAGACCTAATGCTCGCAGCTGACATCTGTATTCACAGTAGGAACCAAAAAAAAAAAAAAAACTGAAACTCTATCCTCCAGCTCACTGTGCCACAAAAATGGGAGACAGGAAAGGTCTGTCCATTTTGAAAGCAGCTGGAGGCACATTCTGGTACAGGTCCTTCATGCTCCAGATGGGCAGCATCATTATGCAGTCTAGAGCCATGCTCATTTCCTTGAATTTTCATTGGCTACGGCCATGTTTATCCTACATACAGCAGATCACTCAGTGTATCCTGTAATTAATCCTGGAATTCTTATTTTGAGAGTACTTTTATTGTAAGATAGTCCATTTACTGTAGGAATACCAGACAGAAAAAAATGCTGTCTGGTTTTATAAAGTGTTTATTTATGTTAGGAAATTAAGGACACCTGTTGGAAGTTTGGGGTACGGCCGAAGGTTCTGTGAAATCCAAGTCGCCTAAGTCAATAAATGGAAAAGGAGCAATGGCGAGTAACTTTGCTTTTTTCTGTAAAAAGTGAACAGTATTAATCATTATTTATCATTTTTTTAAAACTAAGACTGTTGTTGTCGCTCTGTTTACAGAACCAGACGTCCTGATACAGCTATGTAATAACCTTGAGATCTATTTTTGATGGACCTTAAGAAGTGGAGACTGTCTTGTGGGAAAACTATTGTTTTTTTCTGAGAAACCATTGGTGATATGACCATGACCATTTTTGCCAAAGTGGTATTGCAATTTAAATGTCTTAATTTATTGCTTAAAATTGCGACTGGCCACACGTAGTTAATGCTTTAAAAAGCTGTTGAAAAAACAATGTTTTTTTCCATATATATAATTGATAACCAACAGTGCTAGTTTGAGTGGAATCCAAGCTGTTAGTTTTCTAAGCCTGTGTTCATTTCATGGTCTAGGTGAAAAGTCTGTTTTTGCTTTCTTTAATCACAAACAAGAAGTGCAGTTGAGGCTCAAGTAACTACTGACCAGTATTGGCTGGAATAAAACAAATCCCACAACTGGAGAAGAATTTTGTTAATTTGGATCACTTTTGTATTTTGGAGGACTGAGATTAGATAGCACAGCAGTGCTATCTAATCAACCAATACAAAAAAAATCCCTCTTTTTTGGACCATTCAAGTACACTAACAAGAATAACGGACAGTGAACGTACAGTATAAGATATACACAACCACTTTGGGCATTTTAGCTGGCTGATCAAGCTTTTTTGAAATTATTTATAGATGGTAGACAAATGCCTTTGTAGGAGATCATAAATACAGGCAGCTCTGTTAATAATAGAACTGCACAGAGATAAATAAGAGTATGTGAACAGTCCATTATGTAAGAGGCTACAATCACCACCGTGGCAATGGCGGCTACTGTCAAATTTTTAACACAAAGCAACAGTCTAAGCAGAAACCAAAGCAAAAAAAACAGCAAAAAAAACAACAGTCTAAGCAGAAACCAAAGCAAAAAAACAGCAAAAAAATGTATGCCACTGTGCCAGTGTGTTTCACACGAAGCCAAATCATATT